TTTGTATAAAATGTGTAAAAGTATGCTTTTAAAAATGCAAAAAAATCATCTATCAACTTTTGGGACCACCTGGAATAAATACTTTTTCATACGAAATAATATTTATAGATTTCCAAAAAATCCTGAAAAACGTAGCGCGTGAATACAGTTTGTCAAGAAGCATAATTGGGAACCTTCTAAATTCAGCTGTATATGTTCCAAACATTTTCTTGAGAAGTACATTAATCGTACGCTATTTCGTTTATCAAATGTATAGGCATTTTATATATTCTTATTTCTATTTAAATATAACCTACATTTGCGGTCCTTCCACCAATTTTATTTATTAGTTCTACAGCTGATTGAAAAGTAGAGCTTCATGTTTTGTGTATGCATGAGTATTGTTTTTTTTATTATAGTTAATTTAAAACAATATTAATATACCTTTTTAATTACCTATAATTTGTTTCAGATTAGTGCGTTTAAAGGAATTGGTGAAAATGAAGCGATTCGCCAGCTTTGGGGATGTGCCAGTAAAAGTGACATCGAAGTTATTCAACGTTTCCAGAATAAAGTATTAAGGAACATCGTCGATGCACCATGGTACTGCCACAATACTGATCTTCATAGGAACCTTAAAGTGGAGACTGTTGAAAATACAATATAAACATTTGCCAGTAGTCACCAACAACGACTGCTCCAACATGGAAACCTCGAGATTATCCAGCTCCTCAACAAGCGACGATTTCCATACCGACAAGTTCCAAAGCACCAAACATTCAGTGCTGTGTTTCGACATATTGGAACACATGGCATACTGTGTTCATATATCTTTTGATAGGTATTTAAACTCTTGCAGCTTGGTAACCATGTAGAATTGGATATTTGTTCATATGACATTTTATGCTTGAAATGAATTCAGGAATATAATATTTAAGTTTGTACAGTGCATATTATGAACACACTGTATATAAGTTCTAATAATAATAAAAATATTTTCTAATGCCTTGGTATGATTCCCCACTCGACCATTCACTGTTGGGTTCTAATAATTAACAGTGCTGTTCCTGAAGTGGCGCTGGGAAACAGTAACAAAGCCTACACAGAACACAATTATTAAGAATTTAAACACAAGCTTGAGACTGGCATATTAGGTATATACCCTTGGCCATAAGTCGAAAAAAAAAATAACATTAGTCTTTTTTTTAATGAGACTAGCAATAAAATCAAAACCGTTTGTCTAGTATTAAAAATAAATATCACTCATAGATATGGATAAGAAAATATTAAAACTTTATTCCTTGTACACTTTTATTTAATCACAGCACATATTATTTGCATTTACAATATTTGCTTGACGTTCATATGCCCCAGTCTGTTTTGTTCACCTTTTCTAGTAGCTTTTTCTGCTAAACTCTAGTCCCTGTTCTACCTCCACCTAGGTAATGAATTATTCAACCATTTAGTCAACAACGGGGTTTTACTTGTTTTACAGTAAGATACTTATCTTTAATGTTCAAGTTTTAGAATTTGAACTTGGATTAGGCCATTTTCGTCAATTTTGTCCTTAGAGCTTTTGGAAAAACACTTGGGAAGTACTCTCACAAATTTATTTCTTATTTTGCCTAGCGAAGAAATTGTGTATTAGAAAATATTCTGGTTTTTACCTTAGTGGTTAAGAAAAGCACAGTGGATACTTTTCCTAACTCAATAAACATTTATTACCTAGATGTTGGCCTCCCTTTATCACCATCCTACAATTTCAACTCTTTTGCTGTTAACTTTAACTTCATCTGTGACTTTATGATTGAGACTTCAACTTTATCTTCACATTCTTTGTCTGACTTTCAATTATACATGCATGATTATTGTGCATAGACCAATTAAATTGGACCGGCACGCTTGTGGTGCATGTTGTGTGTTATTAGGGTAGGCCTTTACATAAGTAGCCATAATCTCTGCAGATAGTGAGAAGCCCAGCTCAAACCAACTACCAACTACCATACTATCGTCATTGGATCTATAGGTCTCAAGTAAGTTCACTTCATATTTTACATTTGTTAGAAGTGCACCTGCACATCGCTGGTTGTGGCTTCGCTGATTTACTGAATGTCTTGCATGAAGATATACACGTTGTCTCTGTATACACCTTTCAGTCTGAATCTACAAAAGTACCAAGACCAAGTAAGATTAATCCACATTTTGATTTTCTGAATAGTGCATCTACCTAGACAGAGATTGCTTATTAGCCATTTTCCGCGAGCCTTGCATTAAGTTTCATATCTGATTATCGAGCTTTTAGTGTATGAACATTTGTTCTTAATTTCGAGAAAGCTGTAAATTAAAGATTCTTCCTCCATGGTTAGATTACTTGACATTTGCGACCTTGTACTTTCCGATAAAGACAGAAGTATTTGGCTCATAGAAAAACGAAAAACTAAAGATTGAGCTATTTATGTGCCCTAGTGCAAACGTGTGACGACTGATCCAATAAATCGAACTCTGTTTACTTTTGTCGCTTATGTGAACCAAAAATGTACTATTTATTTTTTCTGTGAATGATTTCAACGCTTTAGGGTTAATTCCACCATTGTGTTAAAGTTTAAACTATTAATTGAAGATTAAAATTAAATTTTATGTAAAAATGTCATTTTAAACTTCGTTAAACCCAATGGTGGAATCGGCCCCAAGTTAGTTATATGATGGTCATATTGATTAGTTGCAATTTTGCAAACAATATATTCTCCAGCGCTTAATAGCCACTTGAGTGATAATTAAATCAGTTATATTTTATTTCTTTCATTTACTTTATTCAGCAACTTTCGGCTGAAAACCGGGCATATTTAAGCTTTTAAACCCCCTTCTTTTATAACCTCGGCCTTCCACTACCTTTTAAGTCAATGTCAATAAAAAGGAAATTAATTTTTTTATAGTTCAAATAATGATATTTAACCAGAAATAGTACAATAAAAACTTGTAAATCCGGTTCTGCTCTTCCGCCATTTTAGTGAGTGCAAAAGCCACGCCTACCGGTCCCACTTTTGTATATTAAAAACAATACATATGACGTATCCTTACGTTGCCTTATCAATGGTTTTGACAGGTTATGATATGGCAGAATTATGGCAACCCTGTAGGCCTGGTGATTTGACAAGGTCAATGAAATAGATAGTTACATAGATTGATCATCCATATTTTTCAAAATAAACATAAGCTTATGCCTTGAAGTAAAAATGTAGGCAATTATTTTTTTACTATATTCAAAGGCTAAATATTGGTTTGTTAAGGATCCATTCCACCGTTGTATTAAACGGAGATTAAAATGACATTGTTAGTGTAAAAATGTCACTTTAAACTTCGTTTAACACAACGGTGGAATCGGTCCTAACATATTTTTGCGAAATCGATTCTGATTAATAAGCACTTGCGAGACAATATGGCCGCTCGCAAACGACCTGCTTTGAACAATCTATATAATTATGTATGTATCATTGACCCTATCAATGACAACAGGCTCACAGGGTTGCCATATCTAAATGTCAGTTCCCACTTGTCAGCAGTTTGACAGGTCGTTGAAATGCCTAGTTCCCACTTGTGAGTAGTTTGACAGGTCGTTGGAATGCCTAATTATTGTCAAAAAAAAATTCAAAAATAAGTAGTGACGAAGAATTCATTACGGACACGCCCCCAGAAATTAGAGACACGACAAATTTGGCGTCTTTGAATTTGATTCCAAAAAAATCAAAAATGGTATATGAAAGAACCTGCCTCAGATTTGAGAATTTTAATCGGTATGCAACACTTTATACAGGCCACGGCCGATAAAGTACTTTATAAAGTAAGTATATACAAAAGTACTACTTTTTGACTATGTTTTCTGTCCGATAATCGACGTTTTTTGACACATTCAAATAAAGTCTGTGGTCCAAAAAGTAGATTTTAAAAATAATTTTGGTTTTTCAGTGGAGTTCTATTTTTTCTTCAAAAATATTCAGTTTAAACCCCGTACACACATCACGCTCTTTAATGATTAAAAGTTGAGTACAAAATTTCTTAAAAGTATCTAGAGTAATAATAAAATTATGATAAAAAAGTATTTTTTTTCCTAAAACTGTAACATTCTGTAGTTCAAATATTAAGAGGTTTGCGACATGTTGATATTAATTAACATTCATTCATTTCTGGAAACGTGTGGGCTACGCTAGTGCTGTTGCGAATAAGTTAATCTTAAAAAATATTAAAATATATTTTCTAAAAAGGACATATTTTAAAGTTTAAAAAGCCACAAGGACAATTTGTTTGAAAAAAGTATTGTCCTTTTCAAAAATGGACAGCTGGCAACCCTAATTACATTATGTTATGGTTAGATTTGTTAATTTCCAGTTTATTATTAAGAAGGGGGTCTATTCTGTAACAATTCCTTTATATTTAACAGCCTTTAAAAATATTTTCTTCTTTACTTCTGTCATTATTTAAACGGATCTTTAAAATACATTAGAGGACTATCTTAAAGAAATCTGTTTAAATAATGACAGAACTAAATTAACGAATACGAACATGTTTTTATAGGCCGCCAATATTTTTAAAGGCCGTTAAATATAAAGGAATTGTTACAGAATAGACCCTAATTAGCCTTATTACTGATTTTACATAAAGGAATGTTTCAATTGTGTGTCCATCTTGAGCTTGAGTTAATTCCTAAAAAGTGATATTTTTTTATTCTTTTCTGACCTACATAATGATTAACTGACTCAGAAAAAATGTAATTGTAAGCAGATCCACAAATTAATTCTAATTCTTTATGTACACTGAATAATATAGTACTTTGAGACAATGTTTTTTTAATACAATATTTTTAATAAATTTTTCTTATTTTAATAGTAATTTACTAGGCGGTATCTATTTATAGGTAATATTGTAGGTAGTCTTTTGATCTGCCCAATAATGTGTCGTTATAAACAGTCTTAAATACTTTTCAAGTCGAGAAATATACCCAAATCTAACAAAAATATACTTTTAAGAACCTCTCAATGGCAATGAAGTCTTCGAAGATCCTTCAGAGAATCATCTACTCATTTTTAACATTCCTGCTTCTGATGAAGATGAAAAATTTGTTAGTGCAGAATTGAAAATTTTAACGTTGTTGGACAACATTGATGCACGCAATGAAATAGGTAACATTTATATAATATTGATGTGAAATTATTTTTGTATGACTAACTGTAACACGCATATCTTTTTACCTGCTAATTTACCATTAAAACAAAAAATATATTCATAAAGGCTCTGTTAGTATATTCGACTGACAACAGTCTATCCCAGTGATATTTTGACATAAACTAACTCTTAAAAAAATTTAACCATTGGCGCGCTATCAAGGTTAGTCGGAATTTTTCTCTCTATTTTTTACGCCCCAAACATTTTTTTTAATTTTTTTAAATTCTTTGTTCATTTTCGGTTAAAAAAAGTAATAACCTTTTATGGATCTAAAATGAACGATTTTGCAGAAATTTGCTTCTAAACAAATCAATAATTTGTAACAACTCAATATATCTAAATTCTAATCTAATAAGCACGTATTACATTTTTAATATTTCGTGTATTTGACAAGATCTTGGTAGATCAAATTTGAAAAAATATTTATTTCTGCAATGCTAGAACTTTTAGGATTGTTTTATTAACATAATTACAACTGCCAGACCAATTTGACGGTTGCTAGTGCCCGCTAGGAGAGTATACAAGGTGGAGTATTTAAAAGTTCTTATCTTCGTTATTAACCGAGATATCGAAATGATTTTTTTTTAAAGATTGGAGTAAGAACTTTATTATAACCGATTCAATTACTCTGTGACATCATAGCGTGCTTCCGGTTTTTCCGGAAATAACAATAAATTGCTATTTATTTTTTATTTTTAAAAGAAAACCGCCATTTTTATTAAAAATTCGAATTTATTGAACATTTTTGGATAAGAATCTTTTATTCAAAATGTTCTGTCAGCTGTTAAAATGGCCACCATACTCGTTATATGGGAATTAATTACTTTCAAAAACTCTTCGTAAGACTTTTTGTGCTCATTGAGATTACCCAAATTACACCAGTGGCGTATCTAGGAATTTTTGTTATTGGTAAACCAGCTCTAATCTGTCATTATGTGAAATATTGAATTGATTTTTTTTTGTTTGAAATCTTCGAACAAAAACTTTCTAATAAAGGATTCAATTATTTGAGACGTCATGGTTACTTCTGGAACCAACAATAAATTTCAATTTACCTTTATTTTCGAATGTTCTATCAGCTGCGAAATAGCCACCATATTGGATAATATCATTTCTAAATGTGTCACTAATAACTCGTTGAAGGAAGAAAATACGGGATTGCATTACCTTTAAAAACTCTTTGTAAGCCTCAGTTTTCCTCTTCTGTCTAATTCAAATTACACCAGTGGCGTATCTAAGCATTTTTTTTTCTGGTAAACCTCTTAAAAAAATTCCATCCACTCTTATATTAGTTATTATTTGAGATATTGAAATGATTTTATTTTTGGTAGCTTGGCACCCAAACTTTCGGATTCAATTAGTCTGTGGCATTCTTCCAATTTTTTTAAAATGGAAATCTCTATTTTTTTATTAAATATCCCTCAACAAATAGTCCAGAGGCGTTAGGTCTTGGCTTCATGCAGGACATATAAAAATTAAATAGCAATTTACTGTTATTTTCGGAAAATCACACACGTCACAGAATAATTTAATCCGTTATAAAAAGGTTCTTGTCTCAAGAGCTCAAAAAAAAATCTGTTCAATGTCGCAAATAATAACGTAGACTTTTAAGAGATTTACCAATAATAAAAATGCTTAGATACGCCACTGGTGTAATTTCAATGGGAACACTAAGGCTTAGAAAGAGTTTTTAAAAGTAATGTATGGGCATATTTTCTTCCTTAGACGAGTTATTAGTAAAAATTTTAGAAATACTCGTAATATCCAAGTTGACAGAACATTTTTAATAAAAGACTCCAATCCAAAATTTTTCAGTAATATAATATAATTTTCTAAAAAAAATGGGTATTTTCATTTAAAAATAAAAAATTAACTGGGGTTTACAGTTATTTCCATAAAAAGCGGAAGTAAGCTATGACACAAAATAATTAATTCCGTTATAAGAAGGTTCTTGTTCGAAGCTTTTAAACAAAAAAATCAATTTCACAGGAACAAACAAATTATGAGCACTGTTAAAAAAATACTCCAATATTGTGTCGGTTTAGAATATTGTTCCAATAAAATATAGGACTCAAGAAATTGTTTAATTATAAGAAATAAGCATTTATGAAGTAACGTTTGTACACTTTATACTTTAAATAATTATCGTTGTCACAAATTAGTGAAAAGTTAAAAGCATTATGATAATGAGAATTTGGTAACAAAGGAACAAAATATATAAATATAAAGTTTCAACAATATCCGTTTCTCACCCGTTTCTCACCCGTTTCTCACCCGTTTCTCACTCGTTTCTCACCTGTTTCTCACATCACAGAACGTATCGAAAGTGTCCGATTTAGCTATTTCCCAGATGTGGTTTATGACTTCCTACTGTATGTCAGCACATTCATAGCACTGAAACACGGTAGGAAATCTGAATATCATGTCACTCTATGTCACTTTAAACCATGCGTGAATTGTGTGCTGCAGTCCAGGAGGAATTCATGAGCGTACAAAGGCGTAAAAGCAGATGAAATCCTACCTGCTGACAAAATTGTAATTATTTTTGAATGACAGAGTTGAATAGTTTTGTTATTATTTTGTAGTCTGGTTCACAAGTAAAAAATGGAGTTAATTCTTCATACTGCTATTCTGTATATTGAGTTGTTTTTACAAGAGGTCTGATTATTAGAAAGTATTTTAATTACATTAACTTTATTTTTTTAATACATTGGTTTTTCCTTGATCAAACGAAAAACTAACAGAATATAATGTTTTTATTATAACAATATATTTTGTCAAATTAAACGGTCTTTACATGTATTAAGAAAATAAATTTATTTTTTAGCATTTGGCACATTACTGTTAATATTGCTTAGTAGTGAGTGATTTATTTTTTTAAAAATTCTTTCAGTAAGAAGCCGATTTCTTGTTTTTGCTCCTGCAGATGTATGCTTTATTCCAGTGCTCCGCAACCGGTGTGCCGCGGCACACTGGTGTGCCGTAAGCCGACTTGAGGTGTGCCGCTCTTGCAGACAATACGAATCAGATTCGTATTGTAGCGAGACCCGCGAAAAATAAAGCAATCTGACAACAGCGCCGATGGTAAACGTCTATCCGTCTATCGGCGCGGCGCGGCGGCTTGATTCTCGAAGGCGACTAAACTAGAAAGATCCGTGCCGTTCGAGGCGCGACTCGATGTTTTCCTGAACATCGCCACTGCCTATATAAGCGCGCCTGTCGTCGCTCAGAGACTCAGAGAGAGTCGAATAGTCAAGTGAATCAGATAAATACGCGGGCAAACAAATAAATCGTAGAGTGAAATAAATAGTGAATTGCTATATAAATAAATTCTTGTGCCTTATAAATAAGTGAACTGGACTAAGTTTTGTTGCAGTATCTACTTTTATAAATAACTATAGTGCTTCAAATATGGATAAATTTTTGCTGAAATCACGAGCAGATGACGAAGAACCTAGCACAAGCTCCAGCATAAGTGCTGCAAAAAGAGCAAAAAAGGTGCTGAAAAGGAAGTACAATCAAGACTACCTTCGATATGGTTTCACTTGGTGTGGCGACGAAGCGGCTCCAAAGCCTGAATGCGTCATTTGCGGTGAACAGTTGTCAAATGAAGCAATGGTACCCAGCAAACTAAACCGTCATTTGATCACAAATCATCCCAGTTGCGTCAAAAAAGACATTCAATTTTTCCAACGGCGCTTGGATCAAAATAAGAAACAAAAGCAGTTTATGAAATCGGCGGTTACGGTTTCTGAAAAGGCATTAGAAGCAAGCTACCTTGTTGCAAAATTAATTGCACAACAAAAAAAACCGCACACTATCGGTGAAACGCTTATTAAACCAGCATGCATGGAAATTGTTAGACTTATGCTTGGGCCAAACGAAGTTAAGGACGTGAGTAAAGTTTCTTTGTCGGCCGATACTGTTAAAAGACGTATCCAAGATATGTCAAGTGATATTTTGGGAACACTAATTAAAAAAATCATTTCGGCTGGAATTTTTGCGCTTCAAATCGACGAATCAACCGATATTAAAAATAAAGCACAACTGATGGCTATTGTACGTTTCGTTGACGAGGACTCTATTAAAGAACATTATTTATTTTGTAAGGAGGTTCCAGAGAGAACTACCGGTGAACAAATTTTCCAAGTAACTGATAATTTTTTTAAAATACATAATATTCAGTGGACCAATTGCGTTGCTATTTGTACAGATGGTGCTGCTGCAATGATGGGCAGTAAGAAAGGTTTTGTATCTTGTGTAAAACAAAAAAATCCGTCAATACAAATTACACATTGCTGCATACATCGAGAAGCATTGATGGTCAAAAATTTGCCCGAACAGCTTTCGATCACAATGAATGAATGTATTAAGATCATAAACATAATTAAATCGAGAGCCTTAAATTCGCGAATCTTTGGAATACTCTGTGAAGAAATGGGAAGCGAACATGAATCCTTACTGTTTTATACAGAAGTTCGTTGGTTATCCCGGGGAAAAGTTTTAGCTCGACTGTTTGAACTTCGCTACGAAGTGCGTGAGTTTCTTTCAAGTCAAGATATGTACGATCTATGCCAGCACCTTCATGATGAATACTGGATAGCCAAACTTGCATACATGGCGGATATATTCGAACATCTGCATGAACTTAATAAAAAAATGCAAGGACGGAATGAAAATATATTGACGTGCTCCGATAAATTACAAGGGTTCAAAAAGAAACTTGAACTTTGGCAGGAACAGTTGCAAAAAGGATGTCTAGAAATGTATCACAGGACCAACCACAGTACGATCGAAAACAAGCAGTTGATTGTGGATTTGGCCCAACAACATTTAAGTATGCTTCAACAAAAATTTGAATACTATTTCCATTCTATCAACACGGAACAATACAATTGGATTCGAAATCCTTTCGCAACCAATGCAATAAGTTCCACGGAAGCACTGCCATTGCAAA